GGACCTGGGAGCTTTTCAGCCTCCTGGCTGGGACCTGGGAGCTTTTCAGCCTCCTGGCTGGGACCTGGACCTCTCCCACGCCTTATTGCCGAAGTTCTCGAACTTTCGTGCAGGGAAAGCCGCCTCTGCGTGGTGGCCAGCTTCCGCAATAGACGCCCCGACGCCCCCGTGGAATTTGAGTTTCATGTAAACAGTGAGCTTGGGAAATGCGTATGCCGAGAACGTGTCTCCACACCTGGAATTGACCCTTAGCTTGCGTCCTGTGTCCCCGCTGACCCGCTGCGTTGGGGAACTTGTTAGGACCTCAGACTGAGCCCTCTCCGAGGGAGCAAGTCCTGGAAAGTGCATTCGAAACCAGCACCCGCCTGGACTGTGGGCATCTTGCGGCACTGGTGTTTTTTTCTGTCCGGGCCCTTGTCCTCTGCTTTGCCCAGCTCCTGGCCCCGGAGCCCTGCTGGTGGCATCGTGGCATTGTTAAAGGAGCTCGCGCAGCCCGGGACTGTGCTGGGCCTGGCGTGGCTTTTCTCTCTCTCTCTGCTTCCGACAACCTTTCTTCAAGGTGATGGGATTCTCTTTTCACGGAGGGGGTGCTGGGGTGGGAGTGGGGTTCAGACAGGGCTGGCGGCCTCGCAGCCAAGACACTAGGCTGGGGTGTGAATGTCTGGGGCAGGGCCAAGGCTCATCCAGTTCAGGCTGTTTTCTCTGAGACAGGGCCTCCCTGTCCACAGGATCTGCGTTAAGTGTAGTTCCTGACTCAGCTGCAGTCAGGAAGGCGCATATCCTGTGGGCCCACAGCGGTGGCCACTCCTGCTGGAACTTTAGGTGGCCCCAGGCTGATTTCTGGGTGGGAGCCATGAGGGGGCGTCCTGAACTGCTGAGGGGCCTCTCTGTGGGGACCTGTCTCGCTGGTTCTACAGACCCAGCTCAGCCCCTAGCCCCTGAAGCAGGGGGACCTCCCCTCCCTGGATGGCGAAACCCTCAGGCAGGTGCGGCTATGAATGTGAAGGGTGCTTCTGTGGAGGCTGGGTGCCTGGCCCTGCGCTGAGTTCTTTGCTCTTGGTGGGTGTGGACAGCTGTGTCCTCCAGCCCTGGAGACAGGATGGCGTTGTCTCGCTGCAGGCAGAGACAGGGCAGGGCTGAACTGGCCAGGCCCCGGGAGAGCTGCAGGGGAGGGGGGTGTGGCTGCGGCCATGGCCTGGGCCTTGCTTGGACCCCGGCGCATTTCAGCAAACATTTGTGCCCTAAGTGCTGTTCCCTTCCCCTTGAAGTGTGGGAGCTAGGCTTTGGGCTGGTTGCCCTTTGTGGGACCTGCTGACATCGCTAGACGCCCCCATGTTGCAGGGGTCTTGGGAAGCAGAGTGAGAGGGTGTTGAGCCTGGTATCAGATTCTGGGTTGGGTCCTGGCTGGGAGCCCTTTTGGTCCATGCAGCCTGACATCCCGGGAGCTTCTCCCCAGGCCACTGAGAAGTCAGGGCTTTGAGTGGAAGGGAGAGGACAGGCGGTAGCGACGGTGAGTCTTCCCGGGCTCTCAGTGTCTTCCCCCTCCCTCCTTTTCTTTGACAGCAGCTTTAGCAAGACCATTCCCATATCGTGCACTTGAAGTGTGTATGTTTAGCGCCTTCTTTTTTTTTTTTTTTGTTACAAAAAGTTTATTTTTACATCATTTTGTACATTTTTTTCCCATCTCAATTGTAATCCCCGCGGGTTTCCCATCACCAAGTCACCCATGTGCCATCACCATAATCCCGTGCATTTCCCTCCCCCCACCCCGTTTGTTTAGCGCCTTCTTAGAGTTGTGCAGCTCTGACTTCTGTCTTGTTTTAGAACATTCCGTTGCCACAGAAGGAAACCTCATCCCTGTCAGCAGTCACTCCCCAGCGTTCCCACCCCTGACACCGTGAACCCACTTTCGGTCTGGCTGTTCGTGTTCTGGATGTTTCTCACCAGTGGACTCGCCGTGTGGCCTGTGTGTCTGCCTGTCTCCCTGGTGTCTGTGTTCGGGGCCCCAGGGAGTGTCAGACGCCGTCCTGCGTGACAGTGCGGTCTATGTGGGGGCACTTTGTTTATGCCCTTGGCTCTTGGGCTGATTCCGCTCTGGCTGTCGCGAGCTGCGCAGGTTTCTGTGTGGCTGTGAGTTTTCGGGTCTTGTGGACACATACTTGAGCGGAGTAACTGCGTCAGGTGTTGACTGTCCAGTGGTTTTGTCTGTCCTCCCTAGGAGGCGGCAGCCCAGCCAGCAGCATCCCAGCGACCGCTCTGTGTGTGTGTGTGTGTTGCTGCTTTTGTTTTTAGTCAGACAGAGGTTGTACTCTTCAAGGGACAAATGAGACTGTGTCCATCTTTTGTGCTGGAGACAGTGGGAGCTCTGTGGCCTAGGGAGAGCCAGGCGCGCCGTGCTGCAGGACCCTGAGCGTGGGATGTGCTGGGAGTAGGATTCAGTCAGTGTGTGGAGCCTCCCTCTGTCCCGCCTGGCGTAGGCCTTGGGGTTGCGAAAGGGCCATCTTCTACCCTTTCAGCCTCTCAGCTGCCACCAGTGCTGGGTGTGTGTCTCCCAACTTTGCATCAGCTTAGGACTCTTCCATGTGGGCAAGGACCTCTGAGAGAGCAGGCCACTAAGTAAGCTGGATTGGGGAGCAAGGGATGAGTTGGGGTGTAGCTGGAGAGGTAAAAACACAGTGAGTGGTAAAATTACTTCAGTGTGTTTTTGTCTTGGGGAACAGGCGGGAGGATTTTCAGGGCCCATGTGGCCTGGCTGGGCAATGGCACCCGAGATCCTTCAGATGCCCTCTAAGGCTACCAGTTGTTTATTTCTAATATTCCAGACAGAACTCACTGTAAGGATTATAATGCAGGGAAAATATAATGTTAAGTCTTTCAGAAGCTGTACTGTAAAAGGTGCACCGAACAGGTGAAGTTAATGTTTACTTAACTCAGAAACAAAATACTGTTTTTTTAACATATAGTTAGTACAAAATAATTGAGCCAGATTACATTCTCTTGTTCCTGTTAAGGCTCTGAAATCCATCGCACGTTTCCTGTTCTTTGTGCATCTCAAAGGGAAAAACAGCTACACGCACACACACGCACACACGAGTGATGGATGAGCGACCCGGGATTGCCCCCCATGCCGTTGAAAATCTATGCTTCCCCCAAAACTTAACTACACATAGTCTGCTGTTGGCCAGAAACTGATAACAGAAACACTTACACACGTTTGTCTAGCACGTGCGCTGCTCACCGTAGTCTTGGCTAAGGAAAGCTGGCGGGAAGGAGGGAGCGGGAGGACTGAACGGAGCTGACAGCGCCGCCCTGTGCAGACACTACGCTAATGTCTGTTTCTAAGAAAATCGGCTCCTGAGTGGACCTGCGTAATTCAAGCCTGCGCTGTTTGAGGGCCAGTTTTATAGGTGAAAGCTGCCCAGACTGCAAACCGAGAGCTCGTAGGATGTGAGCTCGAGCATGCTAGTGGCGCCTTTCTGCGGGCTCTCGGATGAGCCCTCACGTTTGGCGACTCCCAGGATGGACCCCTCAAGGGCACGCAGACCTCCTGCAGCTCACGGATGATGCTCTGCCGATCTCTGTCCCCTACAGTCGGAGCCCTGCCCAGGATGGACCCCACGCCAGGCATTGTGGAGCGGCTTGGGGAGGAGAAGGCTGGAAGCCCAGACCCAAAGTCTGCAGCCTGGCGCGTCACCCCTGTGCTCTCCGAGCGGCAGTCCCGGGACATCCAGTTGGTGCTGGCCTATGCAGCGCCCATCCTGGACACACGCCAGACCTCGCGCCTCCTCAAGGAGGTGTCAGCTGTCCACCCGCTGCCTGCCCAGCCGCACCTTAAGAGGGTGCGGCCAAACCAGGATGCCAGTCGCCCCCACACGCTGGAGATGCTGCTGTGTCTGGCGGGGTCGGCCGGGGGCACACCCTCACTGGCCGAGCTCCTCCCGCAACCGGCTGTTGACCCTCGAGGCCTGGGGCCGCCCTTCCTGGTGCCCGTGCCTGCCTGGCCGCCACTGACCAGGGACCAGTTCGAGGAGGCACGGGCCCACTGGCCCACATCCTTCCACGAAGACAAGCAGGTGACCCGCGCCCTGGCCGGACAGCTCTTCTCTGTGCAGGAGCGGGCTGCGATGCAGGGCCACATGGAGCGAGCCGTGCGGGTGGCCCAGCAGGCCGCCGCCAGAGGCCTGAGGGCCGTCGGGGCGGTGGTGGTAGACCCGGCCTCGGGGTGCGTGCTGGCCACAGGCCATGACTGCAGCAGCGCAGCCAGCCCCCTGCTGCACGCCACCATGGTGTGCATTGACCTGGTGGCCCAGGGCCAGGGCCGTGGTGCCTACGACCTGGGACCTCATCCTACCTGCTCCTTTGCCCCGGCTGCCACCTCCCAGGCGGTTCGGGTGGGCACTGTGCGCAAGCTGGACGCCGACGAGGACAGCCTCCCCTACGTGTGCACCGGCTACGACCTCTACATCACCCGCGAGCCCTGTGCCATGTGTGCCATGGCCCTGGTGCACTCCCGCGTGCAGCGAGTCTTCTACGGGGCCCCCTCGCCTGACGGCGCCCTGGGTACCCGCTTCCGCATCCACGCACGGCCCGACCTCAACCACCGCTTCCAAGTGTTCTGCGGTGTGCTAGAGGCCCAGTGCCGCCGGCTGGACCCCGATGTGTAGGGCTGTGCCCGCTGGGGTCCAGGACTCCCTCTGACCACCTCTGCCCAGACCCCGGGCCCCGGACTCCCTCCACATTGCAGAACTGCTGGCCTACCCCTTTGAGGGACACGCGCGTGCCCCAGCCCAGAGCCGTGGCTCTGTTCCTGCCAGCGTGTGGGATGCCGTTCTCCCCGGACTGGTGACCAGGGGTCCGGCCCCGGCCGTGTCCGGGCGTGTGGGCCTTGCTGCTCTGACCAGTCAGCCCTGGGCCCGCGCATCCTGTCAGGTCCTGTCTACTGTGTCTCGGGTGTCAGAAACGGCTCTGATACACGTACAAATAAACAACCCAGACATCGGGTTGGTGTCTTTCGGCAGGAGCAGGCCGCTGACTGGGGTTAGGGGGGTAGTGGGGAGAGGCCTGTTGAACTGTTATGGGCCGATTTGGGGATATTGTGAGGGGGGAGCCGGGTGGCACTTCCCTGTTGTGTCTGGATCGTGGGTCTGCAGGATGGCCTCTTCTGTCCTTCACAGGTGGGCGGAGGGGACCCCCGAGGGGCCTGCAGACGTGTGCCAAAGAGGAGTTAGGACTGGAACCAAGGTGGGGGTGTCCGTCCAGCAAGCCTGCACTCGCTGGCCTCATGGGCACTGCGGGGCAGATTGGTCTCACCAGCCTGAGCTGGAGGCGCCCGGGGGGGCAGAGCAGGACTGCATGGGGGCTGGTGTGGATGACGGGTGCCACACGGTGCCCTGCTTACCATGCGGGGTGGAACCTGGGGAACGCGGTCGCTGGAGTCTGCTTGGAGCTGTAGGTGAGAAACACACCTGCAGCTTCCCCCCCACCCGTGTCCAGTTCCAGACCCGGCTCCCTGCCCGCGCCGCTGCTGGGGTGATTGGGGCTGAGCCGTGCTGGCCGGGCACTGTACACGTACAGCAGCCTGGCCTGTCTCCTGACGGTGCCCCCGCTGCCCACCCGTGCGTATATTGGGAGCGTGGTGTGTGTGGCTGTTCTGTGGCACTGCTCCGGGGCTGCTTTGCCTTGTGACGGCGTCTTCGGCTCTGCCAGGTTCACGTGGCGAGTGGAGACCAGCAACATTGTGTGAATTGCTTGAGGCCACACAGCAGTGATCTTGAACCCTGTTTTTGGTGACTTAACGTCAGTCCCTGTGGCCCTAAGGAATAGACCGGAGTCATAGCAGATAATGGGGCATTTTGTTTCTTTTTTAAAAAGATTTATTTATTTACACGTACAAGAACTGGGATACAGGTCAGAAGAGTAGGGGGTGAGAGGAGTCACCAGAGTGGGGAGCACAACAATCAGATGGACAAAGTACACTGCTGAAGGGAGCAGCAGGTGAGACAGGAAAGGTCTGCTGTGCCCTGGGGGTCCCTCCCTGGCTGGTGATTGAACCTGTGCTGCAGTGGCTTCATAGTGCTGAGATTTAACCCCTTGTACCACCAGGGAGTCCTCATGGGGCATTTGAAAGGGTGTGAGGACAGCAAGGAAGTGAGAGCCCAGGAAGGGAGGGTTCCTGGGACCCCCAAACATCCTGGCTTGCAGCGGTGGCTGGAAAGTGGCGATAGCCCAGACCCTTTTCTAGATGTCTCAAAGCTGCCCAGCCCGACTGAGGAGAGTCACACGTTTGGGGCTGGGGTTTTAGAGAGACATTGGTTAGGTCTTTGCCTGCATGCTGGTGTTAGAGTCACCCAGCAAACCTGTGGACCCCCTGACTGTGGCTGTCTCCCCTCCAGGTGGCTGCAGGCTTCAGCCCCACCCTGTCGTCACAGCCGAAATGTCAGGTGAGTCTTTCCAGTGGCCCTGCAGGGACCTGTGGCTTCTCTGTCCATCTTGAAATTGCCCGCCCTGGTGGAGAGATCTCCATGGCTCTCTACAGCTCAGGCCTCCCTCCCTCCCATGTTGCTGCTGGTACCCAGCCAGATGAGAGGGAGACGCAGCTTCCACACGAATTGTCCATTAGACGAACTTCCAGCCTCTAGGCCTTTGCTTGGGGAGCTGGCTGGTACTCAGTGGCCACTGCGGTTTGGCACGTGGGCTCATGCCTCCACAGGAGCCCACAGGTGTGCCTGCCTTGTCCTCAGAAATGGAGGCAGGTGGGCCCACAAGTAAGGGATGCAGGGGGCCCCAGAAGTCCCTGGTTCAACCTTGCTTCTTATTAGTGAAAGGAACACCTTGTCTCTACTCGATGAAGGGTGGTTGGGTGCCCAAGGGCAGTAGACCCATGGCAGGACTAGGGTTGGAACCCAGGCCCTGTGTCCCAAGTCTGCACAGAGCCCCGCCCCCCCACGAGCGAGGGCTGCTGTAAGGCCGTGCCGCTGGCCTGCGGCTTCCCCGCCCCTGCACTGAGCTGGCCATGTCTGCCTGCAGGTGCCTTGGCCAGTCCTTGCCCCATTGGGGCCTACCTGCCCTGCCCGCCCTGCTGCTCGACCTGCAGATGCTCACTCCACAGCTGCTGCCCTTACTAGGGAGTCAGAGATCTGCTACGCCATGTGGGTCAGCTCCCTGGCCAGGACTCGAACTCAGGCTGTGGTGGCAATAGGGCAGAGACTTAACCCTAGGCCACCAGGAGGCCCCTCCCCCAGGATTTGGGGGCTTCCTTCTTTACCTCAAGCCTCTGTTTAATGCCTCCTTTGAGCAAGGCCGACCTTGACACCTGCATGTGTTCCCTGTGGCCCTCCCAGCACCCCGACAGTTACTCACGCTGCAGTATCGGTGTGCTCCCACTGGGATGGCAGCCCCCGAGGGCCTGGGGGCTGTCTCGTTCTCCATCTGACCACAGGAGTGTTCGGAACCATTCCTGGGTGGTGCTGGGGAGTGAACGCATCTGGAAAGGCGGCAGGGAGCTCAGATGTTGTGCTGTTGAGCTGCCAAGCGACATGTTCAAGCCTTGATCCCCCATAGCTAGAACCTCATTTAGAAATGGGGGCTTTGCAGGTGTGATTTGTTCAGATGGAATCACTCTGGATAGGGGTCCCTGCTGCAACATGACAGTCCCGACAGAGGGACATTTGGACGCAGACACAGGAGTGTCCCTAGGGGGACAAAAGCCCAGGATGTCGGGCCTCCAGAAGCTGGAAGAGGCAGGAGAAGGCTGCTCCCCGGAAGCCTCTGGAGGGAGCACCGTCCTGCGATACCTTGACTTCGGGCTTCTGGCCTCCAGAATTGAGAGAATAAATTCTTGCCTCAAGCCCCTGGCTAAGGCTTCTTGTCACACCTGGCCCAGGAAGCGCCCCATTCTCAGGCCGGAGCCCCCCAGCCACGTGTGAGCCGCACAGCGTTACCACTGAGTGTTTCCTGGTACTGTGCCCAGGGCCCCCCGCAGACTGGTGACAACCACAGTGTCGTCAGCTCGTGGCTCTGGGGCCGCGTCCGACACCGCCCCGTGGCTGTAAAGCCAGGCGTGGCAGGCCGGGCCCCCAGAGGCATAGGGGACCTGTCCCCTTCCAGTTGGAGGGGCCGCGTCCTGGCCTTGGGCCGGCAGCGCAGTGTCTCCTCCTCTGCGACCGACCTGCTTATGAAGCCCCTTCGTGAGGTCACTGGTCCCCCGGGAACCCGGGATCCTCCCGCATCTCTGGGTATCAGCCCAGTTTCACCTGAGCATCCCCTTCCCCTTGTGTGGCAACGTCCCGGCCCCAGAATCGGGGGTGGGGGGGTGTCACTGAGCTGACCCCAACAGAGCCTTAGTCTGCTGCTCTTTGCCCTACAGAAAAGGAGAACAACTTCCCTCCGCTGCCCAGGTTCATCCCCCTGAAGCCCTGCTTCTACCAGAACTTCTCCGATGAGATCCCCATCGAACACCAGGCCTTGGTGAAGCGGATCTACCAGCTGTGGCTGTGTGAGCTGCGGGGCGGCCGGGGTCTCCGCCGCTGCCGCGGCCAGGACTGGGCGTGTCCGGGCTGCGAGAGCCGTGAGCGTGTGCTGACGAGCTCTGTCCTCCCACAGCCCTGCTCTGGAGGGGGTGGGGCGGGGGCGGGGCCTGTTCCTGGACCCCTTTCCCGGCCACTGTCCCGGAGCTGAGGAGCCTGCACCTGTGGGCGGGGTGGGAGGTGCCTGGCGCGCTCCACCTCGCTCAGCTCTCTCACCCCCTCCACCCGCCCCCAGTCTACTGCGCCACCCTCGGCGTCAACCTCGTCGCCTGCCTGGCCTGGTGGATTGGTGGCGGCTCGGGGGCCAACTTCGGCCTGGCCTTGGTCTGGCTGCTGCTGTTCTCCCCCTGTGGCTACGTGTGCTGGTTCCGGCCTGCCTACAAGGCCTTCCGGTAAGTCTGGGTCCTGGCCCCCGTCTGGTGCCGAGGTCGCCCCAAAACAGATTCTGGTCTCTGCGACGCCCGCTCGTACTTGGCCTGGCTGCCCGGTGAGCCTGGGTCTTGACCTAGTTGCTGCTAGGCCCCTTTCTCTTGTCCTGTTGGGATTTCAGCTCCTGTCACAAGTCTGCAGGCGCCTGAGGGCCAGACACACCTGCTGTCCTTTCTGCTCTTTAGTGACAACTCGATTGAGTTGAAATTTATGTACTGTACAACTCATGTGCCTGATGGTTCAGGGCTCCAGCCCGTCTGCACCGGCAGTCACCCCCGGGACCACCAGCCCCCTTCTCTGTGGCTATGCCTGCTCCGGATAATTCACACACCCCGTGGCCTTCTGAGTCTGGCTTCACCCTGAGAATCACGTGTTCAGGGTCTCTCCCTGTGGTAGTGGGCATCAGCGCTGCCCCCCGTCATACCTGAGTGATGTTCTGTGTGAGGCACTTGGACTGTGTCCGCCTTTTGCCTGTGAGTCATGTGGCTGCAGTCAGTGGCGCCCTCACGCCCTCACTCTGGCGGTGCCCACTGCCCGGGACGGCCGTGTCCCCACTCTCCTTAGTCAGACAGGCCCAGCGGCCTCCTTGAGGCAAGAATTGGAAAGCAGTACTGGCTGGAGGGCTGGACTTGAGGTCCAGGCTGGCTTTCGGCTGCAGGCACAGTCGCACCGCAGGATTGGGGCCTCTGGAAGCAGCCGTGGGTCCAAGCCACCCCTCGCTGGCAGGGGCCTGGAATGGGCCCCAAAGTTCTTACACACACTGAGGGTGCATGTGGCAGTGCCCAGAGCCTAGAGAGCGCCTTGACTGCAGGGTCGCGCTGTCATGAGTGGGCTTTTAATGGCTTCCGGAATGAAGAGATCCCCTTCCCACCTGTCTCTGCCTTCATACCTGGGGGGGCCTTGTTGGTGAGGCCAACACCTGGGTAATGCATGTATTTTGTCTCCCCAGAGCTGACAGCTCCTTTAATTTCATGGCATTTTTCTTCATCTTCGGGGCCCAGTTTGTCTTGACCGTCATCCAGGCTATTGGCCTCTCAGGATGGGGTGCATGGTAAGTGAGTCCACCACTATAATGGAGACACCCCCCACAAGTGAGTACCTGCCAAAAGAGAATACAAGTTGGGTTTTTTTATGTACTTATGCATACAAAACTGGGGTGCAGGCCAGAGGTGCAGGGGTGAGAGGATTCACCAGAGACAGAGTGGGGAGCAGAACAGGCCGATGGACTGAAACATACTGCTGAGGGGAGCAGCAGGTGGGACAGGAGCGGTCTGCCGTGCTATGTGGGTCCCTCCCTGGCCGGGAGCAAACTCGCGCTTCAGTGACTACGGATAGCTTCACAGAGCTGCGCTTGAACCCGTGGGGCCACCAGGGAGGGCCTGAGAATACAAGTGTCCCCTCTGATAAGCAGCCTCGGGAGCTCAGCTGGAGTGGGTGGGGGTCTGTTCCAGGCTGTGCGGTGGGCAGGCAGGAGGGAACCTTGGTTCCACACTTAATCTGGGGGTCCACCTGTGTCCTCCTGAGACTAAGCGATGAGCCACCCTCCCTGGCCTGGGGGAGACTGGCAAGGCTGGTCTAGCAGCTACCCTGCGAGGAGGGCTTGGGACCAGAGAGCCCGCGCAGGAGCACCAGCGAGGCCTTGTGGGCCTACCAGAGAGTGGACCCCTCCTGCGCTCGTTGCTTTAAAGGCGTGATGCCAGGTGCTGACTTTGCATCCCTGTTGGCAGGTTTGGGTGTCCTCTGCATTTATGGGCCTGGTGGTCCTGTCTCCCTCCTGGCGATTTGTGAGGACTCTTGTATGAAGGGCACTGGGTCTTGTTTGCTGGACTTGCTGGGACCCATTCAGTCTTTTGCCCCACAGTGGTTGGCTGGCGGCTATCGGGTTCTTCCACACGAGCATCGGAGCTGCCATCGTCATGCTGCTTCCGGCCGTCATGTTCTCCGTGTCAGCCACCTTGATGGCCATTGCGATCATGAAGGTAAGCCCTCGGGGCCCTGGACAGCCATTACCCTGCTGTTACCTGTCTCGGGCACGGGACCTGGAAGTGTGCCTGTGCGCGCAAGCAGGTGCCTCGGCACAGCCCGGCCCCTCCTCCGTGGAGACTCGCCCTGCTCTTCCCATGGGGCCTGCTAAGAAGGGGGTGCTTAAAGGGCGTGACTTCGGCTGCCTTTTTTTTTTTTTAAGAAAATTTTTTTTTAACATAGAGGCCAGAGGTATGGGGAGTGAGAGGTTTCACCAGAGACAGAGTGGGGAGCAGAGCAGGTGGATCCACTGAAATCCACTGCAGAGGGGAGCAGCGGGGCGACAGGAGGGGTCTGCTGCACCCTGGGGGTCCCTCCCTGGCTGGGGATCATACTCAGGCCACAGTGGCTGGTGATAGCTTGATAGTACCGAGACTTTAACCCCGGCACCACCAGGGAGGTCCACAATACCTACTGTTTGGGGTGCCGTTCACTGGAGTCCCTTGCTCACGCCTGATTTTACCACCTCTGGCCAGACTGGTCACCCCAGTCGCCAGCGCAGGTGCTGTCTCAGTGGCCGGGGTGCCTCCACTCGAAAATTGGGAGCCTATAGCTGGAGAAACTCAGTGTCGTCAGTCAGGGGACATCAGCTGCGTGAGTGTCACCCTGAGCTGTGTGAATACCTCTGAGGCCGCTCTCAGCGTGTGGCTGGAGGCCGAGTCATGCAGGTCCCCGAAGCTGCCCTGACATGTGAAGGGCACGCAGGCACCGTCGCACTGCCTGAGGCTGATGGCGGGTACCTCATGCCTGGACGACTGTGCCTCTCTGTGCAGGCTTCCCTCACGCCTCCCAGAGCACAGGGCTCCTGGCTGGCGTCGATACTGAGAGCCGGGGTGTGAGTTCCTTGCAGCCCTGAGTCCAGCTCTTCACGCCTATCTCACAGTTGCCTCTGGGCCCAGGCTTTATGGGAGGACAGGACCGCTACGCTCGCCTGAACCCCCAGCTGCACAGTGGCCTGAAGGGAGAAAGTAGGAACCCATGAAACCTTGACCCCCCCCCATCAGACTCCCAGAACCACCCTGGGCTTGGAGATTTGGGGGAAGATAATCGCACAGAAACAGATTCCGGTGGGAACAGTAGACACGCGGCCTCGTGCGACCGGGGCTGGCAGCCTGACCGAGTGCTTGCTCGCTGCGCTTGCCCAGCGGAGGCAGGGTGGTGCGGCTCTGTGTTCCAGACACAATTCCACTCCCAGTTTTCGGGGTGGCGGCCTTTTTTTCTGGGGTCTCAGCTGAGTAATCAACGGTACCCAGGAGTGACTGCTAATGACACGCTTGTGCCAGCACAGCGCTGTCCAGGGCACTGGGCGGGTCAAGCCCGTGAGGGACCAGAGCTGCCCTGTGAGGCCTCGTGTCTAGTGGAGTTGGTCAGGCCCAGCCTGCCGGTAGGGTGACTCCTTTCACATCAGAAATGCCTGCGGCCGAGAGAAGGGTCTTACAGTATCAGGAGACGACTGGGGTTGTAGTGCGGCTGGGCGCTTCTGAGTCTATAGGCTTGGCTTCTGTTTGTTTCCAAAGATTCCACACAGACTCTTCTGTGAGTCATGTTGCTCCATGAACCGTGATCATTGAGGGTCACGTATACATGCAGTTTGTGTGGCTGCACGATGATGACTGCACAAGGGCGACCGGCTAACGGTGTGCGTGTGGTGGCCTAAGGGCCCCAGTGTGTGGTGGGCAGTGTTTGCCTTTATCTGAGAAAAATGTTAAACTCCAAGGGGCTCCACAGAGAGCCGCACTGACTTCTCTGCTCAGCCACACATGCGCCCCCCTCTCCCCCCACAGGTACACAGAATCTACCGGGGGTCTGGTGGAAGCTTCCAGAAGGCACAGACAGAGTGGAATGCGGGCACTTGGCGGAACCCACCTTCTCGGGAGGCCCAGTACAACAACTTCTCGGGGAACAGCCTGCCTGAGTACCCCACTGTGCCCAGCTACCCAGCAGGGGGCAGCCAGTGGCCTTAGAGGGAGCTGCTGGCCCACCTCCTCCACTCCTGCCACCGCTGTAGGTTGCGAGGCCCTGAGCCTCTGTCCCCTCCCTCCCGCCGGCAGCAGCCGAGGCGCCCAGCCGAGACGTGAGCACAGCAGCCGCGTTCACCTCAGCCCGAGGCAGCGCTCCCGGCAAGCTCTGCCACCACGTAGGACGTCCCTCGTGCTCCCAGGAATGTTTGGTCCGTGTGTGGAGGTCATGTCCTCTCTCCTCAGGCTGACCGTGGGCCTCCCCAGGGAGAAGTGTCGGCAGGCTGGCTGACGGGCTCCGTCCGGAGCTGATGCTGCTCAGAGGGCCCCACCTCGTGTCCACCCACCCTCGGGACAGCTGCCGCGTGCCGGGTTAGAGGGGGTCTTGTGCCAGGACCCGACCTCCTGAGTGTGGCACCTTGACATTGGCCCTGCCCCTGGCCACCTGCGCTGGTGGGTGCTCCCGGATGAGCCTGCGGACAGCAGAGTGACCTGAGCCGCCTCTGTCCGTCTGACCCAGTTGCTCCACGCTGGCTGTTGGCCAGCCTTCCCCTGCCCACCGTCCCTCCGCCGTGGAGCTCTGGCGGCAGTGGAGCCAGGAACCTTGGGCGGGACCCGGCCTGTCCTGAAACCTGGGACTGAACCCCTCGGGAGCGCAGGGGGACGTCGGCCTTCCCGCCCCTCCACGCGCCGGCTGCCTGGGTGCAGGACGCCCGCGGCGGGGAGCGGGGCTCAGAGGAGCCCTTCCGAAGGGAAGGGGGTGTTTCCGTGCCTTACTGAGGAATCCGAGCAGGCCCTTCCCTCTCCTCGCCCGGATTCCTCTGACTCCACTTGCAGCACTGGGTGTTGGCGGGCCGTGGCAGCTTCGCTGCTGAAAGGTTCACAGGAACGCGATAGCTGTACCCTTGTGGCAGGCTTCCCTCGCGCCGTGGAGAGAGCATCAGGTGCCCCCGCGCCCCCGCCTGCCTGCCTCTGGCGGCACAGGCCCCTTCCGCATCCCATGCCAGCGCCCGAGGACGCCAGGCCCGTCTGCCCCACGCTTGCCTGCGCTCGCTGGCTGCTTGTACTGCCACTTGTGCCCGAGGTCACCGCCCTCCCTGAGGGGCGCCCAGGCCTGGGTCCGCTGTAGCGACCTCAGGCTGGCCTCCTGTGGCTGCATCTCGTACACCCAGTGACAAAAGCTGTTAACCCGGCACAGGAGCAGAGTTGGGGGTTTAACAGAGCGCCCCTCCCCAGCCCCCCTCTTGTATTTTGCACCTTTGTTACAATGTGGGTTTTGTTACCTGAAAATATCCAGAAAATAAATCAGTCTTTGTGCATCAGGCTGAGCTTCTAGAGGCTATCTTTGTGTGGGGGTGTGTGTCCTGTCTGGCCCTTCCTCCCTGAGGGGTCCCAGAGTGTGGCCCCCCCCATGCAGGCCCTCCTGGCACCCCAGGGTGAAGCCCACTCCCTTTGCACCCAGCAGTTTTCATTTGAAAAGGGACATTTATAAATGGAAAAGCAGCTCGCTTGCTCTCAGGATACTTGCTCTCAGGAGACGTGCCCATAAAAGTGCCAGAGGAGGCCAGCTGGGGGCGGGAAGTAGACGCCCCACAGCTGTGGACAACAGCTCTCACTCCGCAGGTTGTAGCCGGTCAGCCTGCAGCGGAACTAGGTCACCCAAAGCAACCAGCATGGCTCGGGCGGGCCCTTTGCAGGAGATACCGGTGAGGCCGCACGGACCCCGGTGCCCACGGTCAATGAGATGGTGCCAGGCACGATGAAAGGGTGCCAGAGACCCAGAACCATTAAGGGGAACCTGTGTGTACCCCTTGTCAGGCCTCATGCCCACCACCCATGCACAGAACAAGGCACTCGGACTCCAGGGTGCTGAGGTTTTCCATCAGTTCAAAGGGAACAGGGAGAAGAGTAGGGTGAAGGGGTTCAAAATCCTGACTGCCGCCAAATTCCCGAATTCACCACCCCCGCATGGTGAGGGCTCCAGCCAGAGCGAGCCCAGGGTGGAGGTGCCAGGAGAACAAGTCCCAGGCCCATCAGGCTGGAGGGTCCGCAAGAGGGTCCAGAGGGCTGGGAACAGAGAGAAGCAGAGTGGGAAATGCGGTGCCCAAGCTGCAGTCCCCACGAGGCCAAGGTGGTGGCAGCTACAGTCGCGAGAAAGTGGGATTGTGCCTCCTGCTAAAGCAAGTGGGACGCGGGCGGCCTGCCTGGGTTGGGTGTTAGTTTTTAAAAATTTGTTTTTGCATACAAGAACTGGGGTACAGGCTGGAAGTGTGGGGCTGAGAGCATTTACCAGAGACAGTGGGGAGCAGAACAGGCAGATCGACTCAAGTACACTGCTGAGGGCCTCCCTGGTGGTGCAGGGGTTAAGTCTCAGCTCTGTGAAGTTCTCTGCAGTCAGCTGCAGCAGCAGCAGCAGGAGTTTGCTCCCTGGACAGCTGCTCCCCTCAGTGGACTTCAGTACACCTGCCTTTTCTCCCCATGCTGTCTCTAATGAATCCCCTCACCCCTGTACCTCTGGCCTGTACCCCAGTTCTTCTCTGGATAAATAGGTAAATCTGAAAAACATTTGGGGGCTTGAGCACTGCAATCACTGTTTCCTGGATCCCTTCCAAGCTGGGTTGACTGCTCACCACAATTTATCCAGTGGGGACTGTCCCAGAAAAGCAAAGTGGCCCAAAGGTGGCTCTGACTGCCCAGTACCTACCCAGTGTGGCTGGGCGTTCCACATGGTACAGATCTCCCTGCTTTGTGACTTTTTTCAGAGGATGGGGAGACCCCATTCTGGGTGCACAGTTCACCCCAGGAGTTTCTGCACCCTGGGTCCTGGCTAGCTGTGTCCTGCTTTGGTTTGCTCACAACAGCGCACAGCATTCCAAGAGCAGGGTCCCGGCCAGTCTGGTGCAAGTGGTGCCAAACCCTGCCTTGGCCGAGTGGGGCTAGAGGGGGGGATGGGCCTGGGCGTTGGCTGAAGCAGAAGCACAGAGAGTTTGAAATGGGGGACAGTGTGCAAGTCACATGGCCTCTCCAAACCTCAGTTTATACCTTGCAAAGTGACCATGTGCAATGCCGCGTCCCCCCAGCAGGGGGAGGCCTGGCTGCAGGAAGTGCTAACTCATACACAGCGTGAAGCTGGCTCTGCTTGTGCTCGCGCTGGCTGGAGACACCAGGATGTGGCCCTGGGCCTGCCCACGGTCTCTGAAAGGGTGAGACAGATGAACGAGCTTCTTGTGAGTGTAGAACAGAACAGAAGGAGGCGTTTCCTGCCTGTCTCCTCCCCCAAATCCGCAGCTGTTTGGATTTACTGGAAGACGGGTATTGTCTTTCTGGGGGTGGCGGGAACTGGGAACACAGTTCATCAACTTTATAGTTCTTATTTTATTCGGACACCCAAAGAGACTGACATCTCAGGTATCCCAAATGGCATCCCCATGATCAAAGCCAAAAGGAAGCAGGGACATGTGAGCCATATTTTAAGTGGGTTAGAAATGATGAAGCCTAAAAGGTCATTTGCTTTTTTCAAAGATTCCAAGTAATTAGAGAAATATGTTTCTTTGAGGCAAGAGGCCCTATACTGGCAATTCCTAAAAAAAAAAAAAAAAGATTATTTATATATACAAGAACTGGGGTACAGGCCAGAGACAGAGCAGGGAGCAAGACAAGCAGATGGACTGAAACACACTGCCGAGGTGGGCAGTAGGTTGGACAGGAGAGGGCTGCTGTCCCTGTGGGTCATCCCCTCCCTGATCAGGGATCAAACTCGGCTGCAGCGGTTTCTGATAGCTTCAGAGTGCTGCACCACAACCCATTGTGCTACCAGGGAGGGCCCTTCTTTTTTGTTAATTCATGGATGTCCATGATATACCCACAAGGGCTACTGTGAGTTCTAACTTAGGGAAATGTGGAAGGCCAGAGAAGGTCAGCAGCCTGTACATAGTCACACAGCCTCTGACTGGCACAACCCTAACCTTGGCCTCAGTTTCTGTACTGTGGTGGTGCCACAGGTTAAAGCACAGCAATATGAAGCTATTGCAGCCACTGCAGCACAAGTTCGATCCCCCACCAGGGAGTGACCCACAGGGTGCGGCAGACCTCTCCTGTCAGATCCGCTGAAACACACTGCTGAGGGGAGCAGCAAACAAGACAGGAGAGGTCTGCTGCGCCCTGCGGGTCACTCTGGCCGGGGATAGAACTCATGTCGCAGGGGCTGGTGATAGCTTCATAGTGCTCCCTTTACCCCCTGTGCCAATCGGGGGGCCCCACATCCCTTTAGGATAAGGCTCAGAGGAGTGGGTCAGGATGCAGTTTGAGGAGTAGTGCCCTGGTTGGGGCCCGAGCTCCTGGAGGTGCTGACATGAAAGTGTTGCTGGGCCTCCCCGGTGGCGCAGGGGTTAAGGCGCTGCACTGTGAAGCTGTCCGCAGCCACTTCAGCAGGAATTAGGTTCCTGGCCAGGGAGCTGACCCACATGGTGCAGCAGACCTCTCCTCTCTCTCCGCTGCCCCCTCCCCAGTTTATTTCAACAGATCTGCCTGTTCAGTTGCTCCACTCTGTCTCTGGTGAGTCCTCTCACGCCCCCCACGCCTCTGGCCTGTAGCCCAGTTCTTGTATGCATAAAAAAAATCGTTAAAAAGCAAAAAAGTGGGACTGAAAGAGAAGCAGGGGCTCTCACCTAACATTGCTGCAGAAAAAAACCTGGGGTCTGCTTCTACAAGGGACTACCTCTAAATCGCTGCCATTCTGCATTCTCCCTTGGTTTGCTTCTCGTTCCCGATTTCCTTGGCATCCTATCTGACTACAGTTCCAAAAATCCACAATCTGGTTGATAATCGGAGCAGATGGAACCTTCCTCACATTGAACACACCTAGCATTTAGACATTAGGGCTGGGTTGTCATCATTCTGCTACATGCCACCCTATAGACCACCACCTGAAAGCACGGAGGCCAGTCATTTGCTGGGCCTCCCCCTTACAGGAATGAGGACTCCCTGAAAATCGATGCCAAGAGTCTAGCTCGCTATTCTGGCTCAGCCCCTGGCAGGCATTTAAGCATTTGAATGTGTTTCCTTCAGCGTCAACCCTATGGAGGGATGCCCAGTGGGGTGTGTGGGGAGCGGCTCCCCTGTTCCAGGCTCCGTTCTGGAGGCAGCAGTGTCTGACTGCGGGCCCTTGGCAGTTGCCCTTTTCAGGTTCCATCTGGCCCTGGCGATGGAATACAACGCAAACCATTTATGCAGCACAGGCTGCACGCTGGGGCCCAGCAGTACGGGGACCTGGAGCCTGGGCCGCACGTCGAGGGCCCGGCAGACCCTCTTAATTCACCGCCCTCGTGCGTCACCACTCCTAAGGCCTCCCAGGTACCCCGCAGTCAACCCTTCTAAAATACTTTCACTTCTCTCGCCCCGCCCCACCCGGAAAGCCGTTGTCCACAAGTTGTCCACGCCCCGCGGCGCCGCCGGCCTGACGTAGGGTGGCGAGACTGTGACGTCACAAGAGCGGCGCGGAGGTGGTGCCAGGGCGACAGGCTACGCGTCGCCACGGCAACCGCGAGAGCCCCGCCCCGGAGAGGGTGGACACCAGCTAGCCCCTCTCCCACTCGCGTGCACCCCAGCTCCCGCGCGCGGCCTGGGGTCCCGCGGCCCGGGACGCAGCCGTCCAGGCGAGGCCGCAAAACGCGACAGCCGTCGCGCGACACAGTCCG